CAGATCCCCTTGGGGTCTTCTCTTCTCCAGGCTGAAGAGACCCAGTTCCCTCAGTCTTGCCTCATACGGCATCCCCTGCAAACCGGCCACCAACCTTGTGGCCCTACATTGCACCAACTCCAACCTGGCCATATCCTTTCTGTAATGTGGGCCCAAAACTGAACACTTGGTTCTGTCCATTTTATTTCTCCTTTCACACAACATTTCCTTATGGTTTTAAGCACCTTTGCCATGGCTTTCATTACAATATGATTCTCCTTACTGCTCTAAGGGCTAAATTGGCATGTCTTAGAAAAGACTTTCCTTCCCATGCTCTCATCTGACCTTGAAAACTTGAGACTAGTTTGCTAGGAGATTTTTCTCCTGCCATACTCTTTGTTAGTAGTAATTAAAAACCCAATTAAGGGTGCTTTGCATTTCCAGCTAAGGTAAATTAAATCTTGCCTCCACCTCAAAAACGTATGATAAAGGTAACTCTTCCTAGCCGCTGTGAATTAACTATTGGTAATTGCACAGCGGAAGCTGTAAATACAGGCTGTTCCCTGGGGATCACTCCTCTGAACTGTTCTGCTTAGTTTGTAATCAAGCCAAACGAGAAGGCTAGGGCAGAACTCGGACTTTCGTAACTATTCCATATCTGCTCTTGCATCAGGAAAGCAAATTATTTCTCCCACCCTGTATACCTATTCTTGGAGATCAATGGGAAACAAAAGTCTTGCAGAACTCTGTTAACGTATTTCCCCCCTGTTCCCTGGGGAAAGTAGGTTTGAAACATACTTTAGGGAACTGTTTCTCACTCTGCCATGCCTTTCGCAGAACCTGTTGCTTGTCTTAAAAGATTCTGCTACATCAGAAGACGGGGTGAGCAACCTGTTCCTCTCCATATGGTGTTAGACTACAGCTCCCATCACCCCCTGCCACACCTTTACTTTTCACTATTGGCTCTACGATCTTATTCAGGGGTCTCTTCCTGGTTCTTTCTGAAATGAGGTGGTCCTTCATCTTTGAGGTTATCTTTTTGATCAGATCCAAGAAACTCTGTTTAACATTGTTATCGCACCCCTTGTAGCCCTGAACAATGAAAAGTTTGTTATGCTTGATTTACTCAAGGTTTTCACACCCTGTCCCTCCTTCAAAAGGAAGGTGAATAATGCAAGGGCCAGTAAAACAACAATAAAAAGTTGGTTTATCAGGAACTGGGATCAGGACAGCTCCTAACTGCCCCCAGCCAGCATGGTCCAGATTCAGAGAATGTGGGAATTGTAGTCCAAATCACCTGGAAGGGACCAGGTGGCCTACCCCTGCCTCAAAATAAACCAGATACCTCCAAGTGAAATCTGCCTTATGCTCATGGGTCCTGAACACTGAAATGCAAGCAAAGACAGGCTCAAAATCAATGGTGTCAAGGGAAGACACTTGCAAGCTTCTGGCTGATGCACTGGGGACCTGGGTGACCCGGTTCTAGTTCCCACTCTGTCATGAAGCCCTCTGGTGCTGTGCTGATGCTCTCATCACTTGCTCTGCTCTGGGTGGTTGTCTGGGGACCCACAGGGTGCAGAATCCTGGATTTCAGCCCCAAGGCATAGTCCTAGCTGCGCCCAGATCGCATTTCATATTTTTAGTATCTGAAGGAGCAATTCTATGAAGTTCCAGCAGGAAAAGGGTCCTACAACTCTCGGTGCTCTCCATCCATTACGGATGGCCTTCACGGGGCTTTGTTTTCCTGTCTAAACATGCACAGGGTAGTTCCCTGAACTGTGTGAGGGTGTCCTTGCTCGCAGGATAGCCCGGCGCTGCTTGGGATGCACAGCTAGGAAAGCTTTTGCTGGCAGCACACATTAAATGAACACATGGTCAAGCAGCAGGGGCTTCCACCCCTGATCATCCAGTTTGCTCCTGCCTCACCCTGGAAGGGGTTACCAAGGGGATGCTGTGAACTGATGCGGTGCCACAGGTGGGCGGGCAGGAAGTTTCCTAAATTGTGGGCACAGGAGAATGCAAAGATGTGGCAGGTGGCCAAGGTTTCTTCGGGCAGAGAGAAAAGAGGGAATTGCGCTCCGGAGGCTGGCCTGCCTAAGGAGGTGAGATTCCCCAGGGCGTCCTGCTCTCACTCATTTCTGCAAGCTTCACAGAGAAGTGGGTGTCGAGAATGAGTGCGCCGCTTTGATTTAAATGCCTCTCAAAACACGCTGCCAAATCCTCTTAATGCTGTCCATTAATAATCCACGCGTACACCCAGGGAGGGATTAGTTTATGGCGATGTGATCACGGGGGCTCAGTTCTGCTGAATGAATCCTCCACGGCATACCTTGCCCAGGTATTTTTCTTTTCTTTTTTCCCTCTCTGCATTTTATTCGAAATCCCATTGTGCGCAAAACCTACAGCTTCAAACACCGGTTGGCAGCGGGTCCAACCGCGGAGCAAGCCTATAGGAGTTGCTTCGGCTTTGCCAAGGCCCTGCAGGCGATGCTGGAGCCGCGCAAGACGACGGTGGCGGGGAGAGAGGAGCTCTGCAAAGGGGAAAAGGGGGGTCCTCTGACTCGCACACCCATTTCTTTTGCACGATTTCTGCCTGATGCGAAACTGAACGGCGCGGGAAGCAGCGGCCGCAAAAGCAGGAGCCGCGTCGCCTGCCGTCTCGCCGGAGCGTCCTCCCTCGCCGGTCAAGGCGCCGATGCCGCTGCTGTTATTGCATTCTTACTGTTTCCCCCGATCGAGGGCGGGCTTCGCCTCGCCAGAGCCGCTCGGCGACCGCGGCGCGGCTGCAGCGCCCGCCGGCCGCCCTGTAGGGGGCGCGGTCCGCGCGACTACTCCGGGTAGGGGAGGGGGGAGGGGGGAGGGCCCCGCCCCAAGCGAGGAGCCCGGCCGCCCGCCAGCCAGTCGGTGAGCAGCGAGCGCGCGTGCGCGCTTCGCTTGGCGCGCGCCCGGCCGTTGAGGCCGCGGGAGAGCGCGCGCGCCCTCTCCCGCCCTCCCGCCCCCCATACCTTCTCCCCGCTCCTCCCCCCCCTCCTCTCCAGACTCGCCTCGCGCGCCTTCCCGGCCAATCGCGAGCCGCGAGCCGCCGCGGGGGCGGGGCGGGGGCGGGGCGTCCTGCGCGGGAGCGCGCGCCGCTGCCAGTCCGCGGCAGCCGCGGAGGCGGAGAGCCGCTGGGCCGCCCTTCGCGGCCCGAGCAACGGCGCCGAAAGCCCCCGGCCCCCGCGCCCACACCTGAGGGCTCCCGTCCCCGCCTCCCCCTCGGGAGACCCTCGAAGCCTCCCCGCGGCGGCGTTCGCGGCCCCTCGCGGTTGCGGGGCAGGTCCTGCAGGGCCTGGCCGCTTGAAAGCCCTGGCCGGGGGGCATTTCTGACCGGGCCGCCCAGGGCCGCTCCCGTGCATGTGGCTTTTGAGGTGGCGCCAAAAGAGGGCGCGAAATCCCCTGAAAGGTGAGCCGGGGCTTCCGCAGCTCACGCCTCTCGGGGAGCCAAGCCTAAGCCCAGGGAGCCTCTCGACGAACTCCGAAGGAAACGCTTCGGGGAGAAAAAAACATTGTGCTCTCCGTGTTTGGAAATCCCCGGCTCAGAGGCCGGGAAAGTGGCAACATGGTAGCTGCTGTTCTTTCTCCTTGTTGTGTTTCTGTTCCAAACAGAGACCAGGTGTAACCGATGAAGCTGCGCCTGCAGCAGGAGGGGAGTTGCCATTTCCAGCTACTTTGTTGCTGAGGAGCAACCCTGGCCAGATGTCTAAGCCTGTCTGCATTGCAACTTTGTCTGGAGTTGCTTTCCCTTCCAAGCTTTCCCTTCCACGAAGCGAAAGCTCTCCTAAGAGCAGGGAATTTCCTGAGAGGACATTTATCCACGTAAAAACCAGGCCATCCCTCCTTTGTCCCTCTCTTTGACTGCTCTTGTTAATACAATTCAATGTACTGTTGATATTCAATTCCCCCCCCCCCCAACAGGCCACCTGTGAGGTGGGCTAGCATAAGGAAAAGAGACCCTCAGGGGAACTCATTTTATTTTATGTATTGCATTTATATCCATATAGTGTAGTGGTTAAGGTGCGGGTCTGGGACTCGGCCATCTGGGTTCTAGTCCTTGCTTGGCCATGGGGCCAGCTGGTGACTTTGGACCAGTCTCAGACTGCAGGGAAATGGGGAAAATCTGGAAGGGGGCATGGCGAAATAGAAGGTGGTAGATTTCTGGGCTGTGAAAGTGAGTGGAAAAGATGCATGGCAGGGAGAGGGAGAGGAAAAGGAAGCAATCCTAACCAGGGTGAAATAGAAATATGACCCCATGAACGCTCTGGGCCTGCGTTTCAGGATCCAGGTGCTCAGCCTTAGCAGGAACGGGCCAAGTGGAAACATGGACGGGAGAGGAGCAGAGGGCTGCACTCCGCCCCCAGAAGTGACTTCCCAGCACCGTCCTTGAACTCTGCATTGGTATGTTGGCGGGGAAGGATTGAGACCTCACCGTCTGGGGACGAGTAACTGACCATGCAGCTCCTTTCTTTACCTGCATTCTCATACCTACTGCTTTGCAGGCCGAAGTTCAGTGGGCCTGGCCTACCGGGGGGGGGGG